AGCTGGGTCTGTGGCAGCTATTCGCGGACGTTTCAAAACAGTGGGAAGACCAGAGAGTAGCACAAAACTATGATCAGGAGAATATCTCAGAGGAAGCCTCCCGTGAATTGAAACAATTTCCGAAACACATTGACCCGCAACAGATTCAATGATAAACCGTGGTTCATACTAATTCGCACACATCAGGGATTTGCCTGGTAGTCACCGTAAAATGTTGGGCGTGAACCAGAGAAGAGCACAACGAAAGTAAATGAATTACAGATGTACTCAAGCCGCTGGACCATGATTACCCCACCTTGCGATGAATAACTACAATTCGCGAAACACATACTTGTAAACTGACTTAGGTACAGCGGAAGACGCAACTGAATCCATCGGTCATGATCTTCAAGTACGTGCCGCACAAAGGCAACCATAAATTTCAGTAGATGAGACATTCAAGATATCGCTTTATTTTCTTGATGGAAGAAACTACTCGTGCAATTGCTAAAAACATTTCGAGACCCCACGCCCTCTGGTAGGCACGGTCACCGAGTTCCCATCGACCTTACGCGCTACTTTGGCACATTCTATATAACCGGTGAAGTAGGCTCGTTTACAAGTTAAGCAGATGTTAACACTAGACTAAATTTCAATGCTTGCTGAGTTCGTGAATAAACCTCCCTAGGTTAGAGATGCTTCCGGGAGATGTGATCACTGGCTAATTCAAACACAGTGACACCCACCACTCGAAAACCGATATGAACAATTCAGACTTAGCCAGTATAACCCTGTGCAAGGGTGTTTATCCGTTGCTATGTTCAAATCGGGTATCACACTGGAGTGACGATTGCGGAGGCTTTTGCTTACGACCATTTTGGATACACAGACCAGCTCACTTGCAATTAACGCGTGAAGCTCCTCATGCGTCGCATTGCAAGCGGAAGCCGCGTGTGGAATTTTAGCAACACATTGAACGATTGGCTCAAATCCAGAAAAAAGGCGCACGGTGCTGTGCGCACGCGAGACGCTTGCATCCCTTTGCACACCACCAAACATCGAGGGGCGACAAAGGTACTACCGGGACATTAAAAATGGCTTGATAGACTTTGCAATATGATTTCAGTTATCTTAAAATAAAAAACTTAACATTGCAAAGACACTTTGAGGTGAGCGATTTTCATGAAGAACAATCTATGCTTTTGGCGAAGTACGACTGGTTGCAATTTACGTGACTCCGTTGGAAATTGTGAGTTGTCTAGACACTAGACTCCATAAGACTTACAAAAGGTACCTTAATGAGTTCGTCCTCTGTTAAACACATCCCAAGGACTCGTCCGAATGTGGTGTTCCCCCAAACCAGGGGCACTCATCTTTTCAGACAATTAGTATTCGCAATACACCAGTAGACGTACTTTCTTCCATCCATAGCGCAACACGATACAATACAAATAAACGTATCTAGTGTCCGACTAAAATGATTAATTCGTATTGATCTCAAATCCACAAATGGATCTGGCATCTGATGCAGGACAGACAGTTTTTCTGAAGTAAGGAAAACTCAAAGTATTCTGATCGTCTTAACGATGACTACAATCAAGGGTATATTTCGAACCCACCATCACCATATTACCTCTAGCCGGGTGAAAGTGAACAGTTCGACGGCGACCGTGCTCCATATACCCAAGGAAGTGATTGGGAGGGAAGCCCTGTCCGACGCTTTGCATTACCAGACGAGATCTTATTCACAGGAGTATGATACTCGAATTACCGTTCACCTAAAATATACCAGAGTTATGCCCACACTGGATACTCATATACCGATACGTCCACAGCTACCCGCCCTCTACTGCCACGAAAAGACTGGACCTTACCGTGGTGTAGCGGTTTGTGTATCTCGGAGACCCATTGAGCTATACTAGGGGGTGTCCGCTTGAGTATAGGAATGCATTAGGACACTTCTGAGACTGAAGGCGGCTCCATATTTACGGTCCACCTTTCTGTTGAAGGCCATGT